TTTAGTAAGCCATTTAGAGCATGGAATTTGGGACCTGCAGACAACCCTACTATTTGGCTACTTGGACCCTCTGGGTTACAGACCCCTTAACAGAACCCCCGGACCTGTATAACCTTTACAGCAAGCCCATATGAGGGACCGCGGTTATTTAGTCTTCTTCTGTTAAGAGTACAGACAGACATGGCAATACGGGTTTTGCTAGCGATACTTGCGGAACGAGATAGGCCCCGCAGTTAAAACGAGATGGTTAAAAGAGGACATTTTGTACATACTCATAGTGACTACATAGACGTCAGTCATAATCATGTGCGTGCTTCCATGGATATATATATATATATATGTAGGTCTGTAGGTATGTGTAAATACAGACGTAGAAACAACTCTAAATGTTTGTCGTTCTCTCTATCCCTTTCTCTGTCGATCTCTGCCTCTTTCTTCCTTTCCATAAACAAGACGGCAGTCGTTTCGGAATGGTTAGAAGCGCACGTGTGGCATGGCCAAATTTCGGTTCCGACTGTCGGATCCGAACGAGATAGAGAACGAGATAGTTTGCATTTGCCACTTTGGTGCCAGAAGGTGAGAACCCATTCCTTGGGCAGATCAGTTCTAGTGCCGCGACCTACTAGTTACTACTATTTACTACTAGCTACTAGTTACTACTAGTTTCGACTAGTACTACAAGTACTACAGTACTACTAGTGCTACTAGTACTAGTGCTAGTGCTAGTGCTAGTGCTAGTGCTATTTTTACAAATACTATTAGTACTGCTTTCATCCAAGGCTCTAAGAACACTGCCACTTCCACATCCAGTGCCACGGCCATTGCCACTGCTACTGCTGCTGCTGCTGCTGCAAATGCTTGTGCTGCTGTTGCTCTTGTCACTGCTACTACACCATTAAGCCCCTATGGCATGCAGATATGTATAGCATGTGCTCGAACGAGATCCCCAAATTTCTGACATGCATCCGGAATCTAGCCCTCCCTGGGGAACGGGATAAGCGCCCACAGTAAATAAACTTCGTCGCTCATCTAGCTCCTTTACAGAACCCCCACAACCCGACAATTCGACCCTGTGGGCATCTTCCACTCGTTTGAGGCTTTGGGGTTTAGGGTTTGGGGGTTTAGGGTTTGGGGGGTTTAGGGTTTAGGGTGTAGGGTAAAAGCTTTCGGTTTCTGGCTTGAGGCATTTGGCTTGAGGCTTTGGGCGCAGAGTCAACTCGTTTCGTTATGTCTGGGGCTACATTTCCGGGTTTTGCAACCCTGGTAGGCCCGTTTATATGGTTTGCATGCTTCGCGAGCAGCTACGGTAGTCAACTTTAGAACACAGGGATGTCCTCGTTTCCTTGGGGTCGAGGAAAGTCTGATGGGGATACTCCAGGCAGGTCCCTCGCTCGCAGGAGCTTTAGCCCGACACTTCCCAGCCATATCATGTTCATTCGCCAGACGACGCCTCGAACGCTGGACGACTACCGTGCGGTGTCTTGCTGAGAATTCAAGGTAGGTTCGGCCAGACCCATCTGCGAAGAACAAGAACTGGAAATGGTTGCCACTGTCGGAGAGCAGTGCTGAAACCTATTGCAGCTTAGCAGGCGCTAGTATAGAAACAACCCGCCAAAGACAGTTTTTTGCAATCAGCCTTGCTGTGTGCGCTCTCATGAGGCACCAGTACCGTTTTTCCTATTTTTGAACGTGGACGCAGAATCTTGCGCACAACATTCGGTGAGACGCCGCTTTTTCGTCAGGATTTAGGGAAGCGATTGTTTCGGGTCGAGTTTTGGGTCGAGGATCTTCAGCCCATGAGCGAAACTTGTTCAGCCTAACCCCCGAACCCTGAACACGCCGAAGGCTCGAGCTGTCGAAGCACCCAAACCTAAAATTCCAAATGCCTCTGACCCCGAAGATCGTCATCATCACCATCACCACCAGCATCACCAGTATCATCGTCATCATCACAGTTACCATCATCTCTACCGTCATCTTCCTCGTCGCCGTCATCATCATCAGCAGCATCCTCCGCATCCTCAAAGCCGAATAGTTCGGCAGTTTGAACCCACAAAGCTTGTCTCTCTGACCAAGACTTTATGGTGCCTGAACTGTTAAGCTCTATGTGGTTCTCCCCAAATCCCACACCCTGTATGCTCTGAATGTGATTGCCTTGAAACCCCCAAACCATAAACCCAAAACTGAAGTGAATGGGGTGCCCGTTAAGGACGATATAAACCCTAAACGGGCTTAAGGTTCATATACCATACTCACTCTGAACCAACATATTAGGCTTCAGATTCGCTATCATAGGAACTCTCCAAAAAATAGCTCTGGCAAGGTTGAGGTGGCATTTAGGGTCGAGGATGTCTGGGCTTTCGGCTTCGGGCTCAAGGCAAGTCGGATGAAGGGTTGATACCTCAATAATTACCTACACTGTTTTGGGAGTTCCTCGGTATAATTCTATTATAAAGGACCCCCAAACCCTATTCTAATTATTAAGACCCCTATCTTAGATATTCAGGGTTTAGGATCTCGGCAAGTGGAATGCAGGGCCTCGGGGTTGAACCTGCAGCCATGAGGTCATCAAGGCGTGTCCGTGCTGCCCTCAGCTTGCTCAGGCCTCTCTGGATACTCATCAGGCCCTGACATATATAGTACTTATGGTTCTTCCCTAGCCCTCCAGGTACCTACTATATAGGGCCTTAGGGGCTCTAGTACCCTATATGGTAGGTACCTGTGATTTTAGTACTTGTTTTTGGGTGCAATATAGTCTCTTTCCGCAGGATCCCAACCATGAAGCACGTAGGTTATCTTTAAAAATGTTAGAATAGACCTTCTAGGGTGTATAGGGGTGCAAAAGGTCTATGGAGAAGTTGGAGCTTTGTCGAATGGTCCAAGATCCGTAAACCCCTACAGGGGTCCATGTACCCAAATAGGATATACTCTGGCCCCAAAACACCTCTGGGGACTACCTGAAGGCCAAAGTATATAATATTTGGGTACATGGACACGTAGGAAACTCTCCACCCCAGGACTCTAAGCCTCTAAGCCCTCCACCCGTAAGGGCCAAGGCATCTTTCATGGGGCTCAGAATCAAGTGTGTCATAGACCATACCAGCAATCGTGATGACTCCCAAGGTAATGACAAACAGAGCAGCAATGACGGAAGTCGGCTAACATTGACGTGCAGGCAACAGCTCCACATCCGTAATCGCGAGATTGACAGGTTAACATGAACAGCCGCAGTGAAGCTGTTTTGCATGTGCGCGCCTGAAATCGTGTTTGTTATCATTTTCCTTTGAGCGCTCTCTGAACGTACCTCTTTTGATGAATCAGCTTCCTTTCACGAGGGCATGCTTCGCTTGAGCGGGGTCTAAGACTAGGTAGGCCTTTTGCGACATTAATACATGTTGCCGTGTTGGGCATAAGCGGGTTCTATCTACGAGCATTTTTCAAGGCTTTCAAGGGCGAACCCCAAACAGGTTGTTGCGTGTACATGGTTTACTTTTCGGTTCATTTCTTACGTTAGGTGGTTCCGGTAGCAGGGAAGGGACCTCCCGGCCCTTAGTGTAGTTATAAAGGGTTTAGGGTTGAGGGTTGAGGGTTTAGGGTTTAGGGCCACGATCCCGCATCTGCTTCGGCCCGTTGTTGCAGTTGACAGGCAAGTTTGCAAGTGCAGCGCCGAGTATACCCTTCGTTGCTCCATGCGCTGCACAGGCGTCGCACGTACAGAGGTCTGGGTTCTAGATTCTACGGTTTCGACTGTGATCCCAAAACATGATCCCGAGCACTAACCCTGGGGCTCCGAATAGCCCAATAAGTACCATCAATACCTCCAGGCTGTAGACTCCAACGATTGTTTTCGCATATTAGGGTGATCACTAAAACATGTCCCCTAAACCTTATAATCCCTAAAAGCCTAAACCCTAAGCCCTAAACTTAAACCCCAAACCCGTAGCATGGGGAGCGGCGGCAGTGCATATCACCGGAAAACCGGCGGACAGTGTGGCGAGCTCTCGGCGTACTTTGCCGGAGCCTACTTGCGTGGCGAACTCTGGAGAGGCCCACAGCGTCCTGAGCACCTACCTTTAGGGTTTCGGGTTTAGGGTTTAGGGTTTACCTAGACCTAGACCACATAATGTAATATGTTTTCCGGGGTCTAGAGTGAGTTGGTTTAAGGGGTTCGTTAAGGGCTTCTGAGGGGGACCCCAAGGGTTCCTGAGGCCCTAGACCCTAAAAGTGTAGTTTCATGTAGTTCCTGTTTGGATGACATCAGTTTCCTAGTTTAGGCTTAGGGCCCTAAGCATAAACCAGGTACATAATAGAAGGCAGGGCACGCATACTAGGATGTACTATGTGAGTATGCAACATGCGAAATTGAAGCGTGACAGAATATATGCCAATACTATTCCTTAGGGCTCCTTAATCTACGAATATTTCCAAAAAGCATTCTCTAATCAGTAAATGTCCCTATACCAGAGCCTTAGCCTTGTAGTAACCAATCCTATACCGGGAACCCTTAAGGCGCGCTGTAAAGAGGAACCCTATCGAAACCTGGTTTCTCTTATCAAGGCCCCTGTAGCAGACCCTCACAGCAATCCTTCGAGAAACCCGTAAGAAACCCCACAACCGCACGCTAATCATTGAGGCCTCTATATCAGCTGCTTCGTATCCTTTTGGTGTGCTCGCCTACTACTAGTTCAGGGCTCGGTCGGGGGCTCCTACTGTGAGGGTTCAGGCTTTGACAAGTATTTGGGGCTTCGGCTATTAGGTTTTCAGTTTACCCATAGGCCCATAGTAGTTCCCTTTTGGGATTACCTAATAGGATCCTAAATATTAGCCACAAACAGGAACTATTACGGGGCCTATGGGTATGTAGGGGTTTCGGTGTTTCGCAGTGTTCCTTTTTGCAGGTGACAAGTCTCGGACTTTCCTGAACAACTTCCAAGTATATGCATCCACAAATTTGTTCAACGCGGTTCGACAAGTCTCTGCATGGCCTTGCTTTCCTTGAGGCAAGAAGTACACGCGGAAGAGCCTTACTGCTGAGCTGCGCACCTTCTGTTACGCTTCGCGAGATGGGCCGGTCCACGTTTGGCAGCATGCTCTGAATCTACAGGACGAGGACTCTTCTGAAGTTATTGTACTGTACCACTACAGCAACGAGCTCTGCTTCCAAAACGTGGCAAATCTCGAGCAGACGACGGCCGAGCTTTTCGCTTCCTTGGTGGAGGGCCGGGCACATTTCGGTCAAGGGGTCTACACCACGCAGTATGAGCCTTCAGTGTGGGGTTCCCGGAAGCGGATTCTGCTGAATAACTATAGCAACGGCGATCCATGGCGGAAGAACACAACAGACGAGGAATCGCGAAAGGTGCTTCGTGACTGGGGCGACGAGAACACATGCGGCAATCGTGCTGCCTGCTGCATACCCATGATAGTCCCCAGAGACATGGCGTTCAGTATCTTTGAGCGGCAAACCCCGGATCTACAGGCTAGAGGTGTTCCGCTTGGAACAGACTCAAAGGGCCGAGAAGTTCATAGAAATCGGGACGTCTGGGTGGTGCGTTTCAGCGACGATGGGGGTGTCAGGAATGCAGTGGCCAAAACTGACGGCATACTGGACTTGCTGCAGCTCCGCCTGGGAAAGTTACAGGAAAATCCTCGTTCCAAGGAGCAGGATCTGCGTTGGCCAAGTGCACGGGCTTATGGGCTTAGGGTTTGGCCCTATGGTTGCGGTTTCAGTGTAGAAGCAGCACCCACGCACCCACGGTTTAGACCCTCCTGTCGAGTATCCACCGTACATGTACATGCGCTAGAGACCTCATGTTCGGGTACATACTAGAGGGTCGTCACGCCTAACTTTTCGAGGTGACTGTGGATAACTATAGAACTCTAGGTAGGGTGCAGGGCATTTTCGCCCGGAGGACACTACAGATTGCATGCTCGAAGTTGCAAGAAGGCTGCGTGGTCGTGGGCGATATCAGGAAACAGAGCAGCTGCACCTTAGTCTGACTACTTGTGCTTCTTGCAAAGCCTCCCTTTTTCTGTCTCACTTGTTCAGTTCTCCCTTCGTGCTGCTTAATACCATCCCTCCAGCTGCACCTGCCTCTCAGCTAAGTCATGGACAGAATGATGGTAAGAAGGCGTTTCCTGTTCCTTTTCGAACCATTTTACGATAAGTTTTTGGGCGTTGATTAGACCGCGTGCAAGGTACAGAGATTGTCTGGCAAGATGTCAGGCCAAGAAAGGCATCACCAGTCATGACGCACTGGTAACAGCGAACAACTTGGCAGGGACACTCCAAGATCAGGGCAAGCTTGATGAGGCTGAGCCTCTTTACAGAGAATGCCTCAAGCACCGCCGTGCCAAACTCGGCAACTGCCACGTGTCGACCCTCACGAACATGAGCAACTTAGCTTCACTTCTGACGGACAGGGGCCAGTGGGATGAGGCGGAAAGTCTTCGCCGGGAATGCTTGAAAGCTACACGATCGAAGCTGGGGGACCTGCATCCGAATACTTTGAACAGCTTGCATGGACTGGCAGGGCTGCTGATGCTTCGGCAACGGATGGATGAGGCAGAGCCCTTGTACCGTGAATGCCTGGCGGGCTGCCAGAACAAGCTGGGCGACCTGCATCCCATCACTTTGCTGTGCATGCAAGCTCCTTCGTAGTAGAGTAGGTAACCTTTTTTTGAGTTATTCGTCTTATTGTTATTATTCTTATTCTTATCTTTTTCATCCTTGAATTATTGTTACTGTCCTTAGTGTTATTCTTGTTCTTATCCTTCTTAATCCTTATATTATCCCAGAGGAAAGTCATTTGCTGGACAACTAAGGCTCTGGCCAGTTTGCATTACCAGCAACTCGGTTCTCCAGTGCAATTTTGGTGGTACATAGATATATGTATATATATATATGTATTATAGGGGCCTTGGCACAAAAACACAAAGCCGGGTTTCGGTGGGATATTGAATTATAAGTATAGAGAAGCGAGAAGGGAATAATCTATGGCCAGTTACACCAATTGCTCTGCGGAGTAGTGGCTACAAACTCTAAACCCGAAACCCTGAGCCTTAAACCTAAACCCCTCAGCCCCTAAGCCCCTAAATCCAAAACCCCATACCCCAGCACCCTAAACCCCTACACCCTACAAACCCCCATACCCCTAAACCCTACACCCCGGAAATCCTCGAAACCCAACTCCTGAAACCCTGAACCCTGTACCCCCAGACCCCCAAACCCGAAACCCAACTCCTTAAACCCTAAACTCTGAACCCTAAACCCTAAACCCCTAAGCCTTAAACAGCTAACCCCCCCTCCAAAAAAAAAACGAACGAAGGAAGCTCCAGTTCGCTGAGGCAGAGGCCTTATTTCGGGACTGCCTCCAGAAAATTCGCACCAAGCTTCTGGGTTCCTCTAAAGGGTTTCCATTATAGAGTTTAGGGGTTTGGGGTGAGGGTTTAGGGTTTGGGGTGAGGGTTTAGGTTTTGGGGTTTTCCGGGTGTAGGGGCCTTAGGGGCAAGCTCTAAACCCTAAACCCTAAACCCTGTTAGTTTAAAGCTTAGGGTTCAGGGTCTCGTCTCCTTTCGGGTTCATAGGGTTTCTTTCCCCTTCCTTAAGGTCTCAAGGATGACCCGAACCCTAAAAGGTCTTCAGGTTCAGCTAGCCTTCTAGGAATTCATATGGTTGATGATATATAATCCTGCATTACCCATAATAAGGAATATCTACCATAATTCCCATAGTTTATAGGGTCCTTCAGGTAATGCAAGGTTTTGTATCATCAACAGTAGTGTCAGGGTTTTGGGCCTCACCTTTAGCGGTCTTTCGGTCGACCAAGGCTTGGGGATGACCATCCCAAAACCCTGGGCAGTCTCAACCACTTGGCGAACTGTCTGTCCGCCAAAGGCAACTCACTGGCAATTCGGTGGTACCCTGTGCACTATGAATTTACGGCTTAAGGCCTATACTGGCATAACACATCACATATCCTTTGTGGACTTACAAGGCATGCTTCGGCAAATGCCATTGATTGCAGATCTGCTTCAGGATCTTCATGGACACTTGTAGTAGGTGTACCAGACGGGGGGCCGGGGGAGGCAGAAACATAAGCCAGAGCCTCAGGCAAAGACCTGGAGTTCAGAGGGAATGAGTTTCTCGGGGTTAGATGACCTACGCCCCAAACCCATCTCGGCAATTGAAAGCGTCTAGTTTGTGCTTCAATCGGGCATGCAGTATCAGCTTCCAGTGTTTTGTTGTCTCTGCCACTCACACAGCAGCACTGCCGGGAGAATGTGTTTGTTTTTGTTTGTGGCGCTTTGCCGGGGAGCGATCCACATCTACGAGTGTCACCATCGTCCTTTGTGGACCTGGCTGGGTCAGATCCAGGTCGCCCAGAACGCATGTTCCTGCATCCCACCAACCACCGAAGAGACGCAAAATCTACACACTGCTTTTTTCGCCTTCTTACATCCGCGAACAGATATCGGTAGGAAGTTTCGACGACAGCGCCGTCTCTGCAAAGTTTTCCTGCCGGCTCAAAAGCAGCGTTGTCAGCCGCCTCATTCAGCGAGGGATGCAAGGATGTAAGCGTTTAAGCGGGTGCAGGGTGCCAACCGCTTCTTTCGCAGATGCACTGTGTGACCATGCATGTTTTCTGGTGGCTTCGGGTGGACCAACCGTAATTTGTTCAACACTTCCGGTGGTCTTTTCTGCCCCATCAATCAGCAAGTATCTACGTAAAGATAAGGCCTAAATGCATGTAAGCACTGTAACGGTACAAAACTGTATCAACCGATTGCTCCGATGTCAGCCACCCATGTCAGCCACACAGAAAACCCAAGGGGGGCAGGGTAGAAAAGAGTCTGCAAACATCTGCAAACATCTCGACTTGATCATGTCTTGTCAGTAAGACCCGCCTTCCAGCATGACGCGATGTTTTCACACGCATGCCGACCACAGCTCAATGGAGTTAAGCATGCTTCGCTTGTACCACCTGGTCCTTTTACTATTGCAGAATCATATTCAATGCGCACCAGGTCGTAGCATATCAAATACACAAGCTACGCAGGTGGCTTCAAAAACTCACGATGCACCTGCTGTCCTTCGCAGGGCACAGAGTAAGGAAACGTGCATTCAATATTGGTCATGCAACAATACTAGAATCGGTTTCCAACCGTACGCAATGCACGTGGATCCTGATGAAGACAGCGAGGTCGATGCAACATACCACCATGAAGATGAACATGGCAAAGCAAGCAAGAAAGCCCTTTTTTTCCGCGGTCCAGACAAACGAACAGGGAATTCATACGTAATTCGATATTCTGAACCATGACATATTATCACCGAGGCAAGATTGACGGCTCGGAGAGTCTGCTACTTGGAAGTCAGCTAGCCACACTGGGTACAGGGTTTAGGGCTTATGATCTGGAGTCTAAGGTTTAGGGTTCAAAAGCGCCTTTGGGTATCCACAGGGTTTAGGGGCAGACCTTAAATGCTTGCCGGCACGGGTGGTCGGCAGCCAAAGACAGCCACTTGAGGATCAGGGGATATCGGATTATCATCAGGCGACATAGCAAACGGAACTTACTCGAGATTCGAATTGGATTCAGGGTTTAGGGTTCTCCATACTGCACTGAAAACTCTGAACGTGCATAACTTGCATAACTTCTTACTTTCGCCTTGCTTCTCCAAGGTTAGCTGAATCAGAGGCTCTTCACCGAGAATGCCTGCAAATACGCGGGGCTACTCTTGGAGAGTTGCATCCGGAGACCAGGATTTCCATTTAGGCTTTGGGCTTTGGCCTGTTGGATTAGAGTTTAGGGTTATTGGCGACCTATTTGGCTGGTGAAACATCAAGAGTGCGATAAGCAAGATACAGCACAGCAAGCACAAGTCCGATATATCCACGCGGATCATTTGGGATTCAGGGCTCGGTTTAGGGGTTAGGACTCGGGATCATGACGTGTCTTGGGTTTGTTTCAGGGTTACCAGAGAAATCATGTGGAAAGTGCAACCTACTTTTGAATTTCGAAGGAAGCCGCATTCGTAGTTACCTCATGGGAGAGGGGTTTTCGTATGTTGCGAGAAGGCAATGCATGTGCAGATCGCAGGCAATCGCCTGCCAGCTTGCCGACCCGTTGGATTTTGCAAGTTTGCGATCATACCCTAAGGGTCCATGTACCCATATATATATATATATATATATACTTTGGCCTTAAAGTAGTCCCTATATAAGTACTTTCGGGCCAATGTATATACTATTTGGGCACACGGAACCTCAGGGATAGACACAGAGTAGGCACCATGGGTGCGCAAGAGGTAGATTGTTCATTTGTTTTTGCCGCGGCAAAGAAGCCAGAAATGTATGTGGCAAACCACACGACCGCCCAAACTTCGCGGCAGTTGGAAATGGCGATTATCCATACCATTGTCTACTTAACCTGCTTATGTCATACACGCGTCAACCATACTATTTTTATGCAAGTGCGCCGTATGTAACTCTATGCATAGAATTAGATATACATATGTTTGTGTTCGATTGCACTGAATGACATGCCGCATCGATGAGCTGCTCACATGTGTGCACTTGGTAATGCCCCACTTCCGCTCCGCTGTATAAGCACGGCCAACCCTAAACCCTAAACCCTGAACCCTAAGCTGCGCATTTCTGGTTTAGGGTTGGGGTCTGCGCTCATTCTGTGTCATCCCACACTGGGGGCTCGGAGGGGCCCTTTTCCCTTTTGTGGTCTTGGCTTCCTTGTAAAACTACCCAGTATTAAAAAGGGAGGGTTAATGTCAGCATGCCATCTAAGATACCCTACCGGGTTTAGGGTTGGGGCCACCTGAAGAGAACCATTCTTTATTCAACACCCCCCCCCTCTTTAGGGGTCGCAGCGTTGCATGCATGGGTGCCTGCTAAACACCAATACTGCAGTCCTTACCTCGAACTCCAAACCTCAGAAACAAGTAACGGTTTGTTAGTTCTGATCCCATACTCAAAAAGATATAACGCTTAGGATAAAAGGTCTGGCACCACCAGTTACGTATATTGAGGTTCTGACACGACTGCTATCCCAAGTTTCGCACTTGGTGTCTTCCTTAAGTTAACTTAAGAACATGCCCGCTAGGCCCTCGAACTTCATCAACAAAGAATCCTAGGGACTCTAAGCCCCATGAGGGTTTAGGGTTTAGGGTTTACATTGCACGATGCCCTGCAGGAAACTAAGCCAAGATTTCAGCAGCCCAGGACACTCTGACTAGCATGGCGAACTTGGGTGGGGTTCTGCAGAAGAGGGGCCGACTGGACCAGGTGCATCAATTCCGGCAAATCAATGCTGGCATACGTACACACAATGTGGATGTACGTACATGGGTGTATTATCGTGCTGACAATCGCGAGTAGCTCCTGCATCCTGGAAAAGAGCAAAGTGGCCTTTTCTATGTCTGGTTCAGGGTTTAGGATTTAGGGTTCAGGGTTTAGGGTTCTATGGGGTGTAGGGTTTAGGGTGTATAGGGTTTAGGGGCCCGAATAATTGCCAATACATACCAACACTATGCTCTACCTTGGAGCTCCTAAGTGAAACTTCCTGTGCTTGTTGGATTTGTGTTGCAAGGCAGCTGAATAGTTTTGCCCCAAGAGACGTGCCCAGTGGAGGTGGAAATTCTCTACCGGGAATGCCTACAGAAGCGTCGCGCCACACTGGGCGATGCCCACCCTCACACACTCAGGAGCTTTACAAGCAAAACAAGCTTCATTTGGCGACACGATTCACTTTTAGGGGGTGTGTAGGTAACCTTTACACGTTTTGGGGTTTATATCAACCGACTATAATTCGAAAGGTGAGCCTTTTTGGGCCAGCATACGCAGCCCCTAAGCTCATATCCTCGTATCACAGAAGCTTTGGACCTCGCCACTTTTTAAGGTGTCATGTGCTCCCAGGAGCATGAACGACGTAGCCGACCTTCTGGAAGATCAGGGCCATTTGGAGGGCACCGAGGCACTTCGGCGAGAGTGCGCAGAGGGTCGTCGGACTGTGCTTGGCGAGACTCATCCGGACACTTTGACTACTATGAATCGCTTGGCTGGCCTTTTGCAAAAGACGGGCCGCATTTCCGAAGCAGAGGGTCTCCGACGACAGTGCCTCGAGACATGTCGTGCCAATCTGGGTGCACCTTGTCTGCTTTGAAGATCGTTTTAGGGGGTGACTGACCCAAGTAGGTAACTGTTGAATTACAGCTGAATTGTGTATTGCAGCCGTTGAAGCCCTGAAGTGATGTTAGACACGCTGAACAGCGGCGTGCAAGGAATCACATCCCCACACTCTGACGAGTGTTCACTTCTTGGCTGTGTTTCTGCAGAAGAACGGTGCGTCTCTCGGCAGAGGTAGTTCATGCATATGAGTTTGGAGATGAGGGTAGAGGTGGTGGCTGTTTGTCGAACATGGCTTCCTCAATAAGGCGAAGTCACAATTTCCACTGGCTGCTGTGCCAAGAAACCCTCAACACGCACTACAAGCCGTGAGCCTCACGAACCCTAATACGGGGATTATAGCAATTACCTATACTTGTTTTTTTTGGGGTGGTCATTATGTTCATATTACAGCCATAGTGTAAGATACCCCCAAAACCCTATTCCAATTATTAAGGCTTCTACCTTAAACATGCAGGAATCCCACCAAACCCTAAACCCTAAACCCTAAGCCCTAAACCCTAAACCTAAACCCCAAGCCCTAAACCCTAAACCCTAAGCCCTAAACCTAAACCCCAAGCCCTAAACCCTCAACCCTAAACCCTAAACCCTCAACCCTAAACCCTAAACCCCGAGCCCTAAACCATAAACCCTCAACCCTAAACCCTAAACCCTAAACCCCGAGCCCTAAACCCTAAACCCTAAACCCTAAGCCCTTGATCCAGGTTGGATGAAGCAGAGCTTCTCTTGCGAGGCTGCCTGCACCACTGGCGTAGAGAGCTGGGTGATGCACACAGCCAGACGCAGGTGGGGCCTCGGTTTAGGATCCGGGGTTTAGGGTTTAGGGTTTTAGGGATTCCGAAAATGTGGGGTACCTTATTTTGGGGTCCTTATAATAAGGATTTATTATTTAGGGTGCTATATTAGGGTCCCCTATTTTCGGAAACCTCTAGGTGGGGCCTCGGTTGAGGATCCGGAGGGCCATTGGTTTCGGATCCGGTGGGTGGTCATTCCCTAGAACAGCTTTTGTTGGAGGTAGAAACCCTCAGGGTCCAAAGGACCCAATAATCAGGTACTTTGGTTGCGGATAGTAGTAGTCCAGGTTAATGTTTGGGAGAGTATATGATTATTAGGTACTTGGACCCTTAGGGAAAGTTTGATAACATACTCTACTGGAGGTCAATATCCTTCTACTAAGTTGGAAAAACCCATCCCCTAAGCACCACATGACCCTGAACAGTAGGGGCCTGCACCGTTATACACTCTATCCCTCTATGCTACATGAACCTAAAGCCTGTCAGGGATCATGTATAACGCGCTGATACACCTCACTCAAAACAAGCTCGATCCGATGTCTTCGGTGCCACGGTTGATGATATAAATCCTGCATTACCCACAATATGGTATACCATAAGTCCCACAGTTTAGCGCACTTAAGGTAATGCAGGATTTATATCACAAACAGTAGGAAGCAGGGTTGAATGCTTCCGATGCTGCTTTGCAACTGCTCCTTTCGAGGTTCACCCTAAACCCTAAACCCTAAACTCTGATTTCAGTTCTGGGGTTCAGGATGTGGGAGGAAGAATCCAAGCCTGAACTCCCGCAAGACTCTAAAGATTAACGCCGAAAGCCTGCAAGTTCATGGGGGTGTCGGCCCAGGTATTCTTTGCAAACTTACAAACGCAGCCCTATAATCCGTTTGTTTTTATGGCTTGCCACCATGTTCCGTCTAAAATAGTCTAAAAGTCAGACGAGTGTCCCAGTGTTGGTAGGTATAGAACATTGTCAGGCGACCGTGGAAGCTTTGGCAGAGGTGCTGCAGGACACTTTACACTTACCGCACTTTTGTAAATAGTTCACGTGGGAGGAAATAGCTGGGACGTCGATGGGCAACAGCAAGATCTCAATGTACACTACTATGAACGGGTATCTCATATCATAACGTTCGCATTGGGAACCCTAAACCCTAAACTCTAAAACCCTAAGTGACGGTAGTACTTATACACGTACGGTACCAGCTGTATCTCCCACCATCGTGAGACAGTGGCAATGCTGGTAGTGCTCGCAGCTTGCCGTCATCAGCAAGGGTAACGGTAGCCTTACCCTAAGGGTCCATGTGCCCAAATAGATATACTTTGGCCTTAAAGTAGTCCCTGTATAAGTACTTTGGGGCCAATGTATATACTATCTGGGTACATGGACCCTCAGGGTTACATAATGTTGACCAGAAAAGCAAACATAGATGAGTTAATGTTCGTGTAGGTGAACATTTTTAGCCACTTCGCAACATGTAGAGAAAAGAATTGTTCAAGAGCCCCATTTAGGCGTTGAAACCCTTCCGCTTTTCCACGACAACCTTTCTGGCTGACTCTCAATTCCTAGTAGACAAGAAATAGCAAGATCAAAACAAGTAAATATTCGTAGTTCGAGTTGGTACAATTAAACGGTTTAAATTAAACACTTTACACGATCAACAAAGCTCGAACTCAGCTTTGTCTTCGTCATGGGGCCCAGATGAGGATCCCGGGGACCTCAAGCTGAAATTCGAGAAAGCACAACCTGACCCACACGCTCCCCTAGCCCAAAGCCCAGCAGGACAGTGGCAAGGGCGAAGAAGCTGCATCGCTGCTGCGTGAGTTTATCCAGCAGCTGGAAGCCACCGGTGGTGAAGAAGTTGAGGCTGCGGGGTAGGTTCCCCTAAACCTTAAATCCTAAAAGACAACAGAGAGTGGGGTCCCCTTCAAAAGGGAGCTCCCACCGTGTTTCTGCAGCGCATGTGGGGAAATACCTGCGGCCCTGGCACGGGTGCCCACTGTTTCATGGGCGAAATTTGACCGCTGGGCTGCCGAAGGGTTAAGGGATTTTGGTTCTAGGGATTTAGGGCTAAGCGTTCAGGGGCAAAGCCGAACTAGTTTCAAAAACTGCTGCAAGGACGGAGAGTTAGGGGTGTAGATTTGAGAGATGCTGCTAACGAGTTGCAGCACGGATGAGACGTCGTGAGACCGCGTCGAGGATGAGGGGACGCATAAGCAGGTTTTCATTGGACTTGGCTGAAGTATGTCGGAATAGCATTGAGACTGCGCCTGGAGTTTTCGCAGACTTGACATGTTCCGATATTTCGATATTGTCGGGGCATCACAAGTGTTGCAAGACTCGGTATGTACGGCAAGTTCAAGCACACAACGGAATTCAATGTCTTTAGATCCACGCAGCTGAGTGGCGGAGTGTCAGGTTCAGGAGTCACTTAGAGAAGGGCCAGTGGCCGGGGCAGAAGTATGCCCTCACGAATACCATGTTTGCATCAGCGTTGACCATCTCGTGCTACCACCTCCTGAAACAAGCGATAGCAGCTCTCAAATTCGTCCAACAGACCTTACAACACGCTACTCCGAGATTTTCTTATATGACTTCCCTAAACCTTGTCTGTCCTATGAAGCCCAGGTACTTATGAAGTAGTTAATTACGGTTTACCTAAATCCCGAAGCCTAAATCCTGAAACTCCCTGAACCCTGAAGCCCCGGTTCTAATCCTTAAGTCCTACAGTGTAGGTTTAGGGTTTATATAGGGTTTAGGATTTATATATAGGGTTGAGGGTTTCGAGTTTAGCTTGAGGAACAGCAGCCGCTGTCGAGGGGTGTTTGCCAACAACCTCTTGAGGCCGGTGGACAGCAGTTGGGAAGATCCCCAAGTAAAGGGCCCTCGGGTTTAGAGTTTAGGGTTAGGGCCCGATTAAGATGGATCCTTGCTGCTCCCTACCTTCATCCGACCTTTTGAGTCCTCAATAATAACGCAGAACCTAAGGCGCTTCTACTGGAAGCTTTCCCTGGCGCTGCTGGAAGAGATGAATGCTGCAGCCCTCGGACCAGGCTGAGTTCTCTTCTGGTTCTGACAGGGGGACGGTCTTGGGTTTACCCTGAACTACCAGAAACCTGCTGTTGTTTTTTGTGGTAGGCTCTTATTATGCACCCAAATACATGAAGCATCAAGAGCCTCCAAAAATTTTGTTTTTTGGTATCGGAGGGTCTAGGGTCCAAGTGCTTGGCAAGTTAGCAATCATGTAATATAGGGGCCTGAATAACTACCAATACTATTTTTTGGGGGGTCCGTTATATTTTTACTGAGCAACTAGAGTATTAGTATACCCCGAAACCCTGTTCTAATAATTATTATGGCCCCCTGTTTTTGACTCGCCATTAATAAATGACAACGCCCTACAAAACTGAAGTCCCAACCCGAGTGCCTAGCTATTCGCTCCCCTGGCGGCCTTTAGGGAATTGTGGAATCCGTAAGGGAGGGGGTTCTAAGGGGGGTATATAACCAGCAATCCCCAATTCTCCCTAGTACTCCCCTAGGTTCCCTAAAGCTCACCCTCCCTTAAGGATCCTATTCGGGAAGGGCTAAGGCTCTTGGGCATTGGGGGTAAAGACACCCCTTCAAAGCCTGATAGAGCCCTTATTAGAACACCCCAATAAAGGTCTTTCTAGGGACCTTGTTTACTATAGGGGCTTTAATATTTGCTT